GATACTACAGGCACTGCCTCCTCACATTGTAGATTTCTAGCAACTGATTTACACATGACTAAAGTCTTAACGTGCTAAGACATGCCTTAAGTTTTAATGGTACAACCAGATTTTCTAAGTTACTAGTCTGAAACTAGCTAGTAGTTACTAAGAATGTAGGAAGGCACAAACACAGTCATGGATTAATTAATTGAGGTTTAATAAAACACCCACAGATACACACACATACACACACACGCGCACACACACACGCACACACAAAATTCACACACACATATTAGCTGTAATGCCGAAGATCACGTGAGTAACATAAATTATCAAGCAAGTCAAATGAATAATTATGTTTTTATTGCACAAATTATGCCCTTTCCCCTAAACTAGCCAGGCTCTGAGGCCTGGGAAATCTATTAAGGCGATGCTATAGATCATCCCATCCACTGTGGCGTGTGTATAGATCGCGTTCGCTCATTTGAGGAATATTGAATCGGTTACAGTAAAGTAAGCCCCTGGATTGAGTCAAATGTAAAAATCCATGCATGTGTGAGGAGCTGTCAGAGTGTGCTGTAATGACGGATGGTGCTGGGTCTCTCTTTCAGCAAGAGGTGATAAAAAGTCAAATTATGAGTGCTGGGGAGGGACAAGAGAGTGTGGGGGAGCAGAGACAGAGAAAAGAGAATTGGACCAGATCCGTCAAATGATAAGGGCAATCAGTCAATCTGAGAACGTTTTGCACGATGGAAAGTGTTATTTCCTCCCAGTGCAGTGTGGAGTCAAGGGTCAGCAAGGGGTCAAGAGTATAACCTCTGACCTCTTGCTTGTGAAGAGTGAGACAACAGTCAGTCAGTTATTGATTCATGGTCTTCACAATTTACACATGTTATTATCTACTGGACATGATTGGTTTTCAATTGTAGTGATTTTTAGTGAAAGTACTTAAACACAAAGGAGTGACAAGGACTTGATCAGCGTGTAAAAACAAGCAATGGAGTACCAGAGACATGGAAAACAACCATTCAAACACCTCAGAGCACACAACCTCACACAATCAAAAGCACTTCCAAAATATTCAGTTCTGATATTTTTTTTTTATAATTTTAGTGCTAATAAGATACCAAAAGCCCTATGTGAAATTCTTCACTGCGCTTGTTTCTCATGAGACAATATGTTCCTAATTCAGGTCTGTCAAAAACATCAACAGACACCGTACACTGTAACCTGTTTTGAAAAATGAAAAAAATTAATAAATCCCTCAAAATAAAGATTGCTTATGCAGGGATGTCCATGGAAATTGTCCCAGTTAAATGTCTTTTTATTGAGCTGCTACTCTGGCAAATTTACAAGTTTGTTCCAAAGCTGAAATGTTTTCCTAAATGAAATGAGTTTCCCATCATTGTAACACCATGGTGGCCAGAACTGGTGTAAAGTGATGAACTCCCAGTACCGATTGAATAAGAATCATAGTCTGAAACAGAATGTACACACTCCCAGATCCTTACATATTATAGTTTGACTTTGCTCAGAATTAGGTGAAACACTAATATACCCATGAAAAGTCAGTCAATTTGTCTAGTAGCATCCCACTGTATCACCACAGCCACCTCTTATTTCATCCTGACACCATCTCTCCCTCTCTGCTTTCTGTCAACATCAAACAGAGCCTCGGACCCCCTACCGGGCCGACCCCCACGCTGACCCCCTCCACGCTTTGAGACTGACCCGCTCTGAGGTGCGAACTTCTGTCCCCCAGCTGATAGAGCCTCCCGATCATTTTAACAGTCCCCATCCCTCCCTGTTTATGACTCTGCAGTTTGATTATAGCAAAGGGGGCTTGGAGAGGTAAGAGCCCCGGAGACACACACACACACACACACACACACACACACACACACACACATGCATCAAAGGAGCTATGAGAGGAATGTGGACATTTGTTGTTTGTTTTATCATCCAGTACCAGCACTTATCTGCTTAATCATAAAGGATTGGCCTGGGAATGAGGCAGGAGGGACGCTGTGCTGGCCAAACAAACTATCCCCAACACTGTAATAGAGGGAAGTGCCAGATTCAATGTGCTTACAGCAGCTTACAAGGTACATGGGAGTTTTATGTGAAGAGAGAGCAGAAGAACAGAACAGAGAGAGGCCAATGTTTACTTTAACATTAAGTCCTGGCAAAGGACGGACTGTTCCTGTTACTAAAGACACACCTGAGTGAGCACTATTTATGATCCTTAGTTTAGAATACACTTTTCCTTTTATGTTGGGGTGCATAGGGGTCTATTAGATAACCAGTTAATATATTATCTTGGAAGACTTTATTGATACATGGTTAACAATATTATGATACATCATCAATACACCAAGTATCATTGTTTCCATTAAACATATGGTTGAAAGTAAGGCGGCAACTACTGATGTTTTTTCACTTTTGAGTAATCTTCCAATTATTTTCTTGATGAATCAATTAATCCTTTATGAATTGTCCAAAAAAAAAAAATAGTGGAGATATTGCCATCACACATTCTCTTAGCAGGAGGTGATGTCTTCAGATGCTTGTATGGTCTGAGAAAAGGTATAAAACAAAAGATATTTAATTTTCAATTAAACAAAATCAGCAAATTCTCATATTTGAGCAGCTGGAATCAGATATTCTTCCTTCCATTAGAGAGACATTATTTCTGGAACACTTCTGATTTCTGGCACTACAACCTTTTTTATTTTACTGTTTTACATTTGAATCATTGTGGAGACCTGATGCACTTTGTTAAAAATTGTTTCCCAATTCACAGCAGTATGAATGCAGCGAATACAGTATATAGTGATTCCTGTTTTTGAACCATTTCATGTTTTAGGTATGTTTTCCTCCTCAGTTACACAGATACATTACTATTTGTAGATGTCTGCCTTGCAATATATCATATCCCATAAATGTCTTTTTCTTAAGGAATGGTTGATGTCGGAATAATTTCTTTATATCAGTTACCATCTGAGTTGAAACACCAATGCATCCCTCACCACTGCTCTAGCACTAAAGTGAGTGAAGCGTAGTTACAGTGTGTGAGATACACAACACTTTAATTAAGTCACAGGATCTCTCTCCGCCCTTTTTTCTCTCTCTGCCTCTGTGAGTCAATCAGACTCTGCCCTTCGTTTCCCCTGTGTGGGAGGCCGGTATGCTGGCCTGAGTAGCTGGGAAAGTCCCATGATTTATGGCCTTTTGCAGGCCTGACTGCCTTTCACCTCAGCGATTATAGAGCCAGAGGTAACGAGGAGTGGTTGCTCCAACCTTCTCTTCTATTTGGCAAATCCAATTTTATTCATTTGGGATTGAAAAGCACTTCACAGCCTTCGCCATCTGATTCACTTGCTGTTGGTAGATACAATTGGAAAGATTTATCGGACTACTTCTATGTGTAATTGCTTATATTTTTTACGGGTTGGGTGATTATCACGTGGATTAGATGTTAATGATTAAGCAATCCAGAGGGAGAGAGGAGGCCTTTTATTGTCTGTCTCACATGGTAGACTTTCATTTCTTCATTCATTACTTTCTTCTTTTTTGATGTATGCTCCACAGAGCCTTGTAAAAGCATTTGCATGAGCAAATTGAAAGCAGCTTTAATGGAAAAAATGTAGGTCTCCTTTTTCAGTTCGTTTAAGAAGATCTGTTATGGCTTATTATTTTCCTTGTGACTCTTTGCCCTGGTCAAGTGGCCCATACTGCTGTATCAACAATATTCAAATGTCCTGTATAGCAGAAAACACACTCCTGCATGAGACCAAAGCCCACACTGACAGCTGAATCATTATGAGGTCCATTTTGAGGCTTTCTGCACTTGTTTCAGCCTCTATCGGAGGATCAAGCAACTCTGACATATTAAAATCAGCCAACCCTACATATGGACAGGGACACACACACCGGCAGCAGCAGCAGGGCAGTAACTCAAGGCCAAAGCAGGAGGTTTATTTTTATCATGGGTAAAGGCTCCAAATCATGTTAGTATGAAGGGGGCTATATAAATGCAAATTGTATTGGAGAGCTATTAGTCCTGGAAAAGGTTTGTATGTAAATGCCCTATAGGAGCACTGCGGAGCACTCGGCCAGTTCAGATTAGTGGGGTTTGTGGCAAATGTGCTGCAAAAGACAAAATAGAAAAACAGGCAGAAAATGCAATTGCCTTGTGGTAAATCATGGTGAACAAGGTGAGAAGTTGAGTAATTGAATGGCCAAGGTGTTTCTGTATGGTTTGTTGTGCATGCACGTGAGGTATGTTTCCTGTGTGCATGTGCAAGTGTTCATGTTTTATGGTCAATTTGTGCATGATACAGATTTTTTACCTGAGCAGAACAGAGTGTGGCCATAAGCAGCTCTGTGTTTTTCTCTTTTTCTTTTGTTTTTTTCCTTATTGTTTGTTCCTTTGTAGAAGTGAAATCAAGAAAATATTAGTCACTAAAAAAACGAATGAGCAAATAGTTGACGCAACACTAAACTAATTACTCTTGATTAATGTCTGCTCTGTGTATGGCTTAGAATCTTGTCTTGAGTATTGAGTACAAAAAAAGAAGGTGATTATGAATGAACAAATCAAATATGGCACAGGATGCCACCTCACTGATGGAAAGTAAAGAATTTAATAATTGTGCATTAGGTTGTGAGAGACAATGCTAGTGCAAGGTCGCCCTCTAGCCATGACTAGGGACACTCACAGGCATCCAACACCTATCAGTCATAAATCCACCACACAAGAATGTTTATTTAGACAGACATTGTCTACATACCCAGGTATTAAAAGTGCCACATTACAAAAACATGCATTCAGAAATAGCACTTTGAATAAAACAGCCTTTATACAGTATTTACATTTCAAGATATGCATTCACATCATCAGGAAGTTAACGTCACTCTATCGACAATCTCTATGTAATGTTTTCAAGTAAAGACAGAATATTCGAGGTGATAGTCATTAGAAAAATAACACAATCTGTCACCTCCTTGTCCTGGACATAAAATGACTGGATGGGTCAAATGTAAAGTGCAACTGCAATTCTTCACGGATATTTTGCTTCCTGAATTATTTCTTCCGAAATGTTATATTTCTGCAAACCCAGGTCATGCCATCCTGGAAAAAAAAAACACAGACAACGTGATTGTGCTGTAAAAATTAGTGAGATGAAATTGATGTGAGCCTAAAGAAAAACATGTCTAAAAGTGATATTTTGTTGCTGTTTGAATATCCTCTTTTACTGCAGCCCACTGGTAATTTGATTATGCATTTAAGACAGGAAGAAGACAACTGTATTATAGCCTCTCTGCACTCAGTGTCTTTTACCTCTAATTAATACCTACTAGTAAAATTAGGCATGAAATCAATGCAAAATGATGACATATAATATGTTGACAGGCAGTAGGAATCAAGGCTGGTGATGACATGGTCATACGAGGCTGAATAGCAGCAAAGCCTCTTAAGATAGATAATAACATGTTTTACTTGAACTATAAGAGGAGTTCTCTGCTTCAACACATTATACTTCTGTGTGTATGACAAAGTTTAATTTACTCTACACCTTCAGTCGGCTGATTACAAAAGAAAATAACTGCAGGGTTGCGCATAAGTAAATATTTGTAAAGAACTAGTTAGTCAGTGAGCTTTAATGCGTCATGTACAAATTATGGTGATTATGGTATTATCATTTGCTGCTGATTTTATATGTATAAACAGTGTTGCTCAATACTTCTGCCACTGGTTACAAAATATATGATCATGTGTGTTTAGGGTTAAATGTATTTACCTGAATTTTCATTAATTCCCATATGGTATTGCAAATTCACACACTATAGATGATAAACAGAAATAATTGATCCCTTGGCCTGTCCTAAATACAGTAAAAGGGCTTTTGTCACTGTAGGTTAAATCCTCCCTTTAGTCAATTTGATGGAAGTGTCACTATTTAAATCTGAATAAAGTAGTCAATGAAAATATTCTGTGATTTCTCAAACTGACTCCAGAGCCAGTGCCACTCTGCAGCCTCAACCCTCACTACCAGTGAATGCGTGTTGTGTGTTTGACTGTGTGTAATGGACTCACCTGAACTCCTTCAGCAGTGAGTGCTGAGCAGGCCTGGACCTGCCACATGCGATCCCGGATAGTGTGCAGACTGAGACTTTCTGCCAGCTCAGAGGCCGGGGTGGCTGTCATCAGGTCCTGCTTGTTGGCAAAGATTAGCAGTGGCACGGCAGCAAGCTTCTCCTCCTCCAGCAATTCAGCCAGCTCCTGGAGGAACAGACACACACGTTGGCAACATATTCATTTGTCTAAGTCAGAAAATTGAATGATTCTAGTGACTTTTGGCTTTAATTGCATCTAATATGATCAGAAAACACTGGTAAAAGGAGAACTTTTAGAATGCATATAACAATGAAAATATTTTGTAACCTTCAAAATGTTCTGTGGTAATTGTATATGACAAGTAATCACACTAAAAATGTTTTAGTATCACAATCTTTTATTGAATCTCACCAGACTTGTCTCCTCAAACCTTTTCCTGTCTGAGCTGTCAATCACATAGATCTGCAAAGAATACAGTCATAGATATTAACAAACTGATAATACTGATAGGACTACTATCTGTGTATATTGAATCTATTTGGTTATTGATTATCGTAACAAGCAGGTCAAATACATCAAACAGAACCTACCAGTACATCTGTGTTCTCAAAATAGTTCCTCCAGTAGGGGCGGATCTTGCGCTGACCTCCAATGTCCCAAACATTCAACTTGAAGCCAGAAGACTGAACACTCTTTATATTGAAGCCCTGTTCAAAGATAACATGGATGCTTAATGCTTTTTTTTAATACCTGAAATACTAGATTTGTAAGAGTGTGTTTTTTTTTTTTACTTGAGTAGGGGTGATGTGGCTGATATCTTCAGCTGCCATCTGTTTCAGCAGAGTGGTCTTGCCAGCGTTGTCCAGACCTAACAACAGTAAGCGCACCTCCTGTTCTGGAGACTGTTTCAGCCTCCGAAGAATGGACAACAGGCCCTGCAGGTGGATCAGAGTACAAGTTAGAGGTGATGAGCTTCAATGGCAGGTTCCAGGATGGCATAACATATAGGGAGCATTTTCTCACTGTTTTGTCACAGAGTCATAATCTTAGCTGTATCAGGTAAAGGCTGGAATTTAAGAAGCTGGCTGGCACCCTATGCAGTCTGCACCAGTCAACAGAGGCCAGCCTGGTCGCAAGGTCTGGCAGATGAACGAATCTGAGTGCGTACAGGAGGTTAAACCCTCATGGTATAGCAAGAATCATCCTGAGCATGAGGATTTAGCTGTTAGCCGCTTGCCATGACCTACACATGAAGCGGGCCAAAAGCTCTCATTGTTCAGCCAAGATTAAGCATGTGCACAATTAGTGGCTTGTGTCCAAAAGCTGGTAAGGAAGGCTTTGGCTCAAGCTATTTACCTTGCAGTGTGTTCTGATAAGATGTAAAAGCTGTCACTGCACTCTGTAACCTGTAACATATGTCCTACCTTCATAACTGGAATCAAATGATTTTCAACAGATTTCCTGTCGATAGGCAAATCATTACATATCGTAATATTTTCAGAACATTTCAGTGCACATCTTTAAAAAAAAACATCTTGCTCTCTTTGTCTTTTTCTGGATTTTTTTAACGTTATCATTTGTGGATTGTACACTTATCACTTCTTGTCTTATGTATTCTCTTTATCTCGCTTTCTTTCTTTTTTCTTGGACTGTAATGCACTTTGTAACTTCTATTTTCAAAAGCACTATAAATCTGCTTGCTTCCCCACACGAAAAGGATGTCTTAATTGTTATATTAAAACTACAACTTGCCAAACAAGACAATTTGACATTTTAAGTGACAGCCCATATTATCATCGTCACCCTCAGTATCAACCTGTTGTTGACATTTTCATACACAAACAACTTTCCAAAACCTAAAGCAGTATGTTATCTCTCCTAACTAGGTTCTCCATTCACTGGCATTTACTTTTAGCCAGACTTAGCCAAAAGTTTCCAGTATCACACACATTTCCAGAAACAGCAATTATCTATAGTTTCATCTTGTAATTCCAAAGCTACTATGCTAACTGTGATGACTCACCATGTTTCCCTCAGGTGTTGGTGTTGTGGCACTTGGTCAGGCTGAATGGATTAACATCTCCTGCCCCTGTTTCTTGGGTGAACAGCTGTCAAGTTCTGTTGCCATGGAAACAGTGACGTCAGCGTAAACAACTCTGACACAACGCCGGAAAAAACGGAGGTCCACAAATGCACCATAGAAAAAGTGAGCCCAAAATGATTTTAATGATTTCCACGCAAATACAGAGAGAAACTTTCTGAGAAGGGTTCCACAAAAATAACCTTTAACAAATGTTCCAGGAACGTACAAAAATAAACTTTGAGAAAAATTTAAAAGTAGGCTTCTTCTACTGACGGTAGTCAGCGAACGTTCCGTTCTTTACTATTTGCCTTTTGTAAAGCACTTTATCACTGATATATGGTGCACTGTACACTGTGATATAGTGTTATAGGCTAAATTCACTTTCACTGATATAATATTATTATAATAAGCAAAATGGAAGTTTTTGACTGTGCAATTTACTGATGTAATTTAATTCTAATGTCATTTCTAGTGCGTGTTGAAATACATATAACTACTGCATTTCCCTATTATGTTGTTCCAAGTTTAGTTGCCACAAACTGTTAAAACCTACACTGACCTTTTATGTTTTAAAGTACTTAGAATTTAATTGAGATCATTACATTTTGATTGTTATAAATTAATAAAGGTGAGAACTGCTGCTCCAACTGAGTGATAACGTCACCTCATAATTAAATAAAGAATAAAGAATTTATTTACTATGAAATAAGTGGTCATTTTACTTTGAACTTGAACCTGTATTATGTGAAATCATGTGCTTTTCAAAGGCGCATGCACAGCGCCCCCTAGAGTCCAGCAGAAGTCTCCGTTTCGTATTACTGCCAGGGCTGTTTCTGAGTCAAGGAACAGCAAAAACACGTCTGAGTGCGACAGGCTGAACCGTTAACTAGCAATAGCCACCTGCAGTCACCTCGACAAGTCGTCGATTCGACCGACTGCTATATGATTCCCGTCGTGTTAACGGCCGTCAACCCAGAAAGATGCCGCATAAAGCACTGGGATCCATTGTAGGTCTTCTTTGTACCGGGACCTGTCTGGTGCAGGTAAGCCACCGCAAGCGCTCCCGGGGTCGGTGGACCGCTCTAGCCGAGGCCGCGGTTCCTGGGCTGGGTGAAGGCCTTCTGTCGATCCCTTTTGTCTCCTCCACAAAGGAAACTCGGGACGGTTTGCTACTGTATACAGGGGATGACGTCAGTTGGTCAAAGTTTTTATTTATATTTCGACAGATCACTTGCTAAAAGATTTAGGCTGTAAACCGAAAAGATACACTGGTTTGTTTTACTACCATCATTTTACAGTTTGAATCGAGGCTTTCAAGATTAACGTTAGCCGTCGCTAACTGGTACCCGGCAAATTGACGTGTGTATACATAGTTGTTGTTATTGGCTAGCCAGACAGGCCAGTCAGCCTCAGTTTGTCCAGTTTGCTTTCCAGATAAAATCACTAATTTAACCTTCGTCAAAAAAGAGAGAGCGATATGAACCCTTGCAATGCTAATAAAGCAGCTTATGTACACAATTACATTGACATTGTTCGACAGTGTAACTGTAGCGTCATCCCTTTAATTAGTGTTGCTGTTAGAATTATCTTAAACATGACAAAATGTCTTAAAATGAAATGCCCCAGCTTAGACATTTTAATATATTTTTTAAATGCCACTGGGCTCTTCCTTGTTTTGGTCACTGGTTGGACCCCATTATACGTACTATACTATATACTGCTATATTGTTTTGTTGCGTGTTTTGATTGTACTGTACGGTTGGTAACTTTCAGTTGTGGCCTTGCCCAGGTATGTTAACGTGTTAAAATCAGATTTTAACTAACTTGAATTAATAAAAGTGTTAATGTACAGAACATTGGCACTGAAATGTGCAAACACTGTGACACTGAAGTGACAAAGGCTAAATAGGTCAGCCTATCAAGAGCTTGCTATCCATTTTGTTATTTACTTGTGTGATTGAGTATTGACTCAGACAGTCACTTGTGTACCTCTTGTGTGTATTTAAGGCAAAGGAGTTCTGTTTTGGGGTAAACAATGAACAGTACCGCTGTGAGATGGGGTACTGCTGTGGAGAGACAGAGTGTTGCACCTATTACTACGAGCTCTGGTGTAAGTACAGTTGATTGTTTTTATTTTTTCTCCAACTTTTGATTCATATAAATCTCATACTGTATGTTTGTCCATTTGTTTCCAATTTTGGAGATCTAACTCTTAAGATTGGTTTTGTTTGATGTGTTTCGTTTTATTCTCTAATTGGTTTCACTTTCACTGTTCACAAGTTTCAAAAGTTCAATACTGTGTAGTTGTCAAATTAAAATGCACCAACATGTCCTGGAAAGCCTTCAACTAAAACTGATTTGTTATGACATTTGAAGCCCAATACTAATTTAAGTACAGAAAGGGGATGGTTTTATATTAATGCATATTTTAGTAATGCTTATTCTTAAACTAATATTTATTTTATGACGCCACCTTAATTTTGCAGTAAAATTGAATACCTAACTCCTCATCATGGAGTTATCACCTTTAACCGGTTTACAGTCAGGCAAAGTGCTGATTAGTTAGATTGGTTATGATGATAAAATGATTACATTGAGTCTGTCCCTCCCTCCTAGGGTTCTGGTTAGTATGGACCCTGATCATCATGCTGAGTTGCTGCTGTGCGTACCGACACCGGAGGGTTAAGATGCGCCTGCAGCAAGAGCAACGTCAGCGTGAGATCAGCCTCATGGCCTACCAAGGAGCGTCTAGCTCCTTCATTTCCCCTCCACCACTCAATCTAAGTGAGTAGTCTTTTTGTTCGCTATGGGGACATTAAAGATGCCTTCCAGAATTCAACAGTGAATATACTCTTAATTTCAGTTTTCTGTTTATTTGCAGTTCAATATTCTATGTTATCTTACAGCATTATGTGGCCTGCAAGTTTCTCAAAAACCTTGATAGTTGTTTTGCACGCACTCCATCAGATGGAGAAGGCACTCTCAGATGGATATCTGTATCCTGAATACAGACTACGATCTAAAAACAGGGTTGTGGTGGTGCAAGTATAGAAGCCCAGATAATCTTTTTCCCCAGTAACATCCTCTAGCTGCTCTTATGGGCTCCTCATGTGCTCCTGAACCTGGTGAGAGATTCAGTTTCTGCTGGACCTATTAGAAAAATTGAGACTAGCCATCCTGCGTGCTTCATTTTGGCAGCCTCTTTTGGGCACTACTCAAAGTGCACGTCCATAGGTAAGGGTCAGGTCTTTGAACTTTGCTCTCTCCACCACAAAGGTTCTATACAACATCTTTATTGCAGTACTCTGACCCAGAAGATTTGTCTTCAGACTCACAAGATACCTGAACTCTCCTCAGAGCAGCTCTTTCAGTGAAAGAGTTGTTACCTTAGAAATGGAGGTGCTGATCCCTGTCACATTCTTGTCATACTCAGCTGTAAATTATCGGAATGTATATTGGAGATCATGATCTGATGTTGCAAGAAGAACAGCAACCAGTGGAGATGTCCCTAATGTCAGTGGTCACTCTGGACCCTCGCTGAAATTTGATATCGTGTCCAGTAATATCACAAACAGGAGTGGGACAAGGTGCACACAGAGTCTGAGGCCCACAGCGAACATGCTTGACTTAATGTCAAGAATGCGAACACAACTCTGACTGGGAGCGTACACAGACAGTGACTCACACAGATACCCTGGCTACATGTACTCTTGTAGCTCTTTCTACTGGATATGATAAGACATTTATTATACTCTACCCTTTTACTCTGTGGGTAAGTTGTGTTTTTTTGTTTTTTTTTTTAGCTTTCTTAGGCATATCCTCCAACATTGCAGCTTTAAACCTGCAACCCTGATGTGTACGTGTTAACCCTAAATTTATCTTTATTTTAAATGTGTCTTCATAGATAGTATTCATGTCTCACTGAGTCCCGAGACAGCATATTTTCTAGTCTTCTACTCATTTCTGTTAATGTATTAGTATGAAGTGTAATTTTGTGAAATAGACAACAGAGAAAAATACAGTATGTTCAGAAATTCGTCAACAAATCACAGTGTGATTTTCTGTGGGGCCGACCGGTTTACTCAAGGTTTCACTTTGAATCCCAATGGGTGCTCTCATGGGTGGTTAGATTAGGTTTTGAGATATGAGAAAGGTGATCCTTAGTGCTAACACAAAAATGTAGGCCATGATATATTAGATTGGCCATTAATGAAGCCATTGCACAACCTCCATCCCTCTGGTCTACTTGTGTAGTGTTAGAAGTCCCCAGCAAAGGAAATCATGTCATTTGCAAAATACATTTTAGATATTTACCTGAAGCACTTTTCTAGGAATTTGTACAAAACAAGAGATCCCCACTGTACAGATTAATTCAGGAGCAAAACAATGTATTCATTTTGTTTTTATGGAAAGATAACAAATTAACTAGCCACTGACATATTTTGCAACTGAACTCAGTTGCAAAATATGTCAGTGGCTAGTTGTTGTTGTTGTTGTTGTTGTTGATGATGTTGTTGATGTTGTTGTAATTACTATCTGTCCTCTTTATTTGAGAGAAAATAACACACTGTGTCTGGGGACTACCGAAGCTTCACTCACCAAAAGTTTTAAGTGTGTTTTGGTGGTAATTGCTGAAATTGTTTTTTGACATTTTAGCTATAAAGAAATGACTTAAATGATTATCAGAATAGTCTTCTGTTTTCTGTTGATCATTTAATTGATTAAATGACTAATTGTTGCAGCCATGGATGATGGTTGGAAAGCTAAAGCTTGTGTATCTGCTGACTTTCAGGGTTCTGGAACGACTGTAAGCTTCCTGACTATGAAGAGGTGGTAGGCCACCCACCGACACCACCCCCCCCTTACTCTGAAAACCCTCCTGAGACTGCTCCAGCACTCCCTCCACAACTGCGCCAGCCAGACGCAGCCTCAGTGCCACAACCCCTGGCCGAGGCAGACCCGAGGGCGGACAGTCAGGCCTCAGGCTCATCATCAGTTCAGGAAGCAGTGTCAATGCCGATCCAAGCACAGTGTCTGGAAGCGGAGAACGTGGAGGCTTCGTTGATGCCAGCAGAGGAGGATGAGGAGCTTGTCACTCGGCGTCGGCATGTGACCGGCGACTCAGGGATTGAGGTGTGTGTTTGCCAGCTGGATGTAGACGAGGGCTCGGGGCTTGAGGAGGAAAGCGATGAAGAGCACAGGATGTGCAAGGTCACCGGCGGAGACTGCTGTTCCGGGCATCAGCAGCAAGCCTTCAGACCCAAGGAGCATACCTCTGATCTGCCCAGCCAGACCGCCAGCACCAGCACCAGCACTGGAGACCACATGGTGTGATTCACAGCGTAACAAAGGCATGACTATAAGATGATGATCATAACTAATCTTTAATGGCTCCCGATTAGGAAAGATGAATAACACATTACGTGTACAAACTCCTGGCCTCTTTTTTTTTTTTTTTTTTTTTTTTTGCTTTGCTTGTCCTTAGTGGGGAAACCAGCAAACACATGTTGATGCTCCATTTGGTATGTTTTTTCTTAGTGAATAGTGAGAGAATGTCATCGGGTAGTGAGAAGGCAGCATTTGATTGTGACTGAAATCAGAATTGACTGTTTCCCTTGCTCCTACCCTATCCTTGAGCACTGCCGTCATGTTTCCGTTTCTGTCTCGCCACTCTCCTTGGTCAAAACATTTCCGGCCATCCTTCCATCTGACATTTTACCTCCGGTGGGATGGTCAGCTTGGAGCATACCGACACGGTCAACAACATTTCTCCCCCGTCCCCACTACGACGAAGCAGAGGAGTCAAAAACAAACCTCTTGAAAACTTAAGACGATACTGGATGAATTTGACATGAGCACACATTTTGTTTTGCCCGGAGCTGTATGTTGATGAGAGTTTGTGTGTGTGCTGTGAAATCTAGGGAACAGCTGCATGGTGATGTCAGCTCTGAGGTCATGGCAACCAGCATCTGGTGTCCTCTGTTGTGTGGGATGTTTCGCATCTAGATTTGGGGGGGAGACTAAACACCCACAAATAGCAGAGGCAGGGGCAGGAAAGAGTTGAGTTTTTTCATTTGGTCTCTGGGTTTTAAAAGACATACATCCTCCCTCCAGCACTTTTTCCTTTTTGATATCCATACTGGGGTCTCCACAGCTCTGTGGTCACCAATTAGCATGACTGTAGGTAAAGAGTGATCAGCTCTTTGTGATTTATTGATTGTGTGCAAGTGATCTCCCCACTCCGGTTTCTGACTGCATTTAATTGATAGAAATAGCCAGGAGGGCTATAGCACCAATTTTGTAATCAATAAAAAGCTTTGTGGTGGCTCTATGTTAGGATTATGTCAGAGCGATTGTATTGCTCAGTATATAGTTGTTGATGTTAATAATGAAGGATGTACTTGCTTTTCTTTTTCATTTCATAACCAGCTGTGCTTCAGTAAATGCCACAGGTGTCACCATTAATCGCAACAAAGCTCCTGACGGGCTGCTAAAGTGTGTAACTAGTGAGTTGGGTGTTTTAGTGCAGTAGGAAAGGTTTGTGTGTGTATATCTTTAGTGCTGTAGTACCTGGTTGAAATACTTACTCAGTACTGAGGTGGGTTAACAATTGAAGCACTGGTTTTTTGCATGAGGCATGAATTTCTATGTTTATATTTGAGTTAATTAACATTTTCTAGCGGTTGTGCTACTTGCTTTGCTCATCTATTTGTCAAAATGACAGTGGGCTACAGTGGCAACTCCATACCCAGATGTTAGGATAAAGAAATGGACTGAGGTTTAAGTTCAGATGCCCTGGATCCGGTTTCCTTGTGTTGTTACGACCATGTGAGCTGCTCTTTGCTGTTATGCTGAACTGGTAGCTAGTTAGCTGGTGTTGTCTCGGTTCTCTGTGGCCCCTGTAGCTCTTGGCAGTGTGAGGGATTTGCAGTGGTATTTTCCATTGGAGGCAGAGGGTGGGTGCATTAGAAAGTTGAGGTGAATGCAGGCTGTGCTCTGCAGTCTAGTCAGTGATGGCACAGATGCAGAATCTATTGTGATTAACTGCATGCTGCTCTGCCTTGCATGTTGCCTGCCCAGTATACTGTAGTATGAATTCAAGGCATAGAAGTTGAACTGGGTGTTGTCATAGAGGAAAACAGCCGCAAAGCAAAACTGTTATTCATCACAAGATAAAAGTCTGTGTGCAAGACCAGCAGTGACTGATAAGTCAGTTAATGTTTCATTGGGAATTTAGTTCGGAACAACAACGTTTTATTTGTCTGCTCTCATACTGTGTGACGAAGTGGGCACAGTGTAAAGACTCAGGTCAGTCAATCTGCTTCACAAAAACATGCACGCTCACAAAGTACTGCTCCTACTATTTTATGATCTAGATTACTTCATCAAAAGTAAGAATGCCCCAAACAGTCTCCTGGTTGAATTAGCATTTTAAACTTCCAGTTGTCACTTTACAGACTCATAAAGATCATAAATTTCAAGCTTGCTAAGTGGGGAGTTAATGCGAATGATTCATGCTTGTTGGATATATTTATTCAGACATTAAAATTGCCTGGCATGTCTTTATTTTCAGCACTGATTGAACTCTGACAAGGACACATTTAGGAAATTCTTGGCCTCTTAACAAGACATGACACATAAATGTTCTGGGACCCATGCAGCTCAGTGGCACATGAAAGCATTTCATCTTTCCTCCAACTACCAGCCCAGAGCTCTGTTCTGGTTGTGGTTGTGTTATTTTGTGTCTGTGCTCTACCATTTGAGCTAGAGTACTTACTGTTGTGGAAAACCAGTACAAGAGGTACAGTGCACCTAATGTCTACATATAAAGTGAAACCAAATGAGGCTTAAATTGAAAGATGAGAGATTTTGTCTCATGTTCGTTAAATAGGCCTAGTCAATCAAACATGCTGTTAGCCAGTTGCGCTGCACTAGTGTTAGGTTTGCAGTCCTTGTGTTGCGTAGTTCAGCAGGTGTTTAAATATGAAGCCATACTAACATGACAATGACCTTTTCAGAGGAGCTGTTACACTGTGAGCATGACTGCACACCCATTAGCAGAAGTAATAGAGGACATTTTTTTTTTTGACCAACACACCTCAAGCTGCCTTGCTGCACCCCTAGAGAGCAAATGTCTTGATTATGTAATTGCACAATAAAATATAGCTTCTGTATGCGGGAACAGATGTGCTACTGCCTTACTAGAGTAGATGTAGTTAAGTGGGTTTGTTCTGGATTTCTTTTGAATGGTATTACATGTGTTGTTCCAAGCATGATTGCTTCAGAGCAGGGGCAGTGCTCTTGTATCAACAGAGAAAAGCATCTGAGCCTGTTCCGAGAAAGTGTGCTCGCTTTGTGAGAAAAGGATGTGGTTTATAAACCTTTTAAAGCCACACGATTCAGATGTTCCGTAGTTTAACTTAGAATGCTTTTGTATGTGAGGGGTGGTTGTGTTGAATTTTAAAATACTGTGTATCTTAGTTAGTAGTGGCACTGATGGAATTTGTGAAGATCAGATTGTTGAGTTTGTTCTCACTTTGTTTTTGTTCCGTGGATCTGGTTGCAATTAGTTTGTGAAATTAACTGACTCAAAAGCATGAGGAAAATAAGTTTAAAAAAAAAAAAGAAAAGAAAAAAAAGTCTCATTTTAGTTTTCTATGCTCTGGTTTTGATTCATCCAATTTGTGTTTTGTGGTAGGAGAACAAAAATGAACTCCCAACAAGAGATTGCTGTATAACCTTTTTACTAAGGTGCAGTTTTGCTTATTTGTATACATATGTAGACAAAATGGAGGGTGTTGAGGAATGAGAGAATGACTTTTTGCATGAATGAACTGGAGGTGCATAGTTTTCCCATTGCCAAACAACTACGCCTCCCTGGGTTTCACATGTTTACTGAGATTAAGGGCTATATCAGTCATCAACTGTGGACAAACATCCATCCATCCATTTCATTGAGAGATTCGTCTGCTCTTTGCTGTTCATTTAAAGCCACAGTTGCCGAGATCCACCATCTGAACATGGTCAGAAATTTGCAATGTGAACATGGTCAGTGTTTGGATGTGGATGTTCTTTAATGTTCAGGCAGAGCTCATATTTAACAATAGCTGATTGTAAATGTTTGTTTTATAGGCTCTAACTTTGCCTTTTTGATTTTGTCAACCTCAACGGAGGTGCGTGATGCGACATCCCTCCATCCCCCCATCCCCCCAGCCTCCCTCCCCGCCCAGGGAGAACAATTCTTCCTTATGTAACTAGTTGCATGTTTTTGCGTTGCTCCGTCAGGTCTTTGTGGACCGTGACTCCACCCTCCACCCGGGCTCTGTCTTGGTAACAGAAACGGTAGCAAATGCTGTAGCTGTTTGTTGTTGTGTGTTTTTTTTTTCTCATCTGCACCGCTCTGCATGCGGACCCCTGGAAACAGGAGGGCACATCCGCCTATGCAGAAGTGTCGACAGAATAATCTACCAAAGTCGCTGATATCTCCACGCTACACGGATCATCGCTGTTTTCACCGCTCTGTGTGTGTGTGTGTGTGTGTGTGTGTATGTATGTGTGTGTCTGTGTGTGTGCGGTTGTTGGCATGACGATGGTCTGTTTGGTTTCCCACTCTCAGGGTCGTCTTTAACGAGCAGTGCTAGAGTTATAAATTAACACATTTTTGACCCACCAGTCTCATAAAGCCAAAGCAGTCGTTTCATGGTTATTGCCTGTCTTAGTTTCTGCATCACGCATCTCTGTAGTGTATTGTACTTTACTCAACTAGGCTATGCAACAACATAAACCTACTGTTATATGCTGCGACCCCTCTCTCACTTTCTCCGTCATTTATCTGTGGGCACCAGTACAAGCAATATAACTCTCAGTACTTGTGGCACTGCACTGTACTGTAATCTACATCGGTTGGTCTGTGTACATGTAAAAAAAACAAAACAAAAAAACTTGTAAAATATATATATATACATATATATATATATATATACTTGTAATGCTACTACAGTGATGTGGTGAGTATGTGTGCTTCAGTGTCAGCTGAGGGGCTTTGAGTTAAAAAGCCATTCTAGTTTATGTATTCTTTTTTTTCCCTCTTGTTGGCTTTTTCTTGTTTGCCTCCTCAACCACTAACACTTCTTACTCCTGATGTATGAATAAACCACATTATAAAGTTGTACAAGCCGAAGGAAAGTTGAATATATTGTTTTTGTTGGATGAATTCTTATTTGATATGTTATGGTCTCTTTTCAAACTTTTCCATCCCTCTTGTTTGTTGCAATAATTCAGTGTGTTGGGTTTCTCAGTTTAAACAACAGTGTTCTTCTTTTTCCATCTTCATAAATATTCACTGACTTAATATTTAACTGTTGCCTTTTAATCCACAGTTACTATGACAC